TCTAAAACACAAGATGAACATATAAGGTTATTAGAAAAATTTATACATATCATAGAATAATCAGGTACGGTTATTAGAAAAATTTATACATATCATAGAATATTCAAGTATAAGTCTAAGTAAAAAGAAAGCGGATATAATGAAAAATCAAATAGAATTCTTAGGAATACAAATAGATAAAAATGGAATAAAAATGCAAACACACATAGTACAAAAAATAATTAACTCAAATGAACAACTAGATACAAAAAAGACATTACAATCATTTCTAGGACTAGTAAATCAAGTAAGAGAATACATACCAAAATTAGCAGAGAATTTAAAACTATTACAACAAAATTAAACAAAGATGTAGAATACCTGTTTGATAAGAAAGACCAAACGCAAATACAAAAAATAAAACTATTATGCAAGAACCTACCTAAACTATATTTTCCGAATGAAAACAAAAAAATTACTTATATAGTAGAATCAGACGCTAGTGAAAAAAGTTATGGAGAAGTCTTAAAATATAGGTATGATAAAGAAAAAATAGAACATCATTGTAGATATTATTCAGGAACATTTACTAATACAGAAATAAAAGATAGGAAATAAATAGGAAATAATTATATTCAGTAAATAAATGTTTACTATCATTTGAACCATATATTGTATATAACAAATTTATTATAAGGACCGATAATACACAAGTAAAATGGTGGCTAACAAGAAAAATACAAGATTCAGTAACTACAAAAGAAATAAGAAGATTGGTATTAAATATATTAAATTTTACATTTACTATTGAAGTGATAAAAACTGACAAGAATGTTATTGCAGATTACCTATCAAGACAAAGCTACACAGACTGAAAAAGAAAATACTATAGAAGAAATACTCAAAGCTATGAACCTACTTTGCACAAAAGTAGAAAATATTGACAAAGAGCTACAACAAATAAGAAGTCAGCAGCATGACTACAAAAATGCAGAGCTAAGTCGATCGGAAGACTTTAAAAAATCCAGATCTAAAAGGTGACATTGGGAAACACCTTAAAACCCATAATGTTTGTTTAAATACAGCTGCAGGTACGAGCAAACAAGTTAGTGAAAAACAACATAAGAATACAAACTTAAACCAGCTATTTGAAAAACCATTTACTCCGAGAACACCAAAAAACA